CGCAGATCGCCGAGCTCGAGCTCCTCGAATGGGGATGTAGTAGTCGCCCTCACTCTCCTTGCCGCGGCGCATGGCGAGGAAGACGATCAGGACCACCAACAGTGCCAGGCACACAATGAGCACGACGACCGGCAGGGCGATGCCCAGGGCGAGACCCAGGACGGGCGACGAAGACGAATCTGAGGAACGGGAGTCGACGGTGTCGCACAGGGACCCCACCCAGCCCGCTTCGCACGAGCAGACGCCCTCGGTGCAGGTGCCGTGGTCGGAGCAGAGCAGGCCGTCCTCGGTCACGCAGCCGTAGAGCTGGCTCACGTGAACGCCCTCACAGGTGACGCTGGCGAGCTTCTTGAAGAGGGTCTTGGTAAACTCCTGCACGCGGTACGGCGCCACGAAGCCCGAGGAGTCCATGATGCTCTTGCCGAAGGGGTCGGTCTGTATCCAGTAGATCCAATCGACGAGGGCCTTGGCCTTGCGGCAGTCGGGCATGTTGCGCGAGTGGAAGATCATCGAGTTGATGGCGATGATGGGCCAGCTGTTCTCGCCCGGGGCAAAGTAGAGCGTGTAGATGTCGGCCCCGCTGTTGAGAAGGTCCACGTTGTCCTGGATGGCGGAGAGAACAGACTCGGTGGTGGGGCTCACCAGGCGGCCGGCCGTGTTCCAGAGCGACACGGGGAGCACCTTCTTGGTGAGCTGCTGCGAGATGGTGAGGCCGAAGCTGTAGGTGGTGGCATCGAGCATCTGCGGAAAGCCGAAGCCGTTGACGGGCACTCCGGCGCCGTTCTTGATGGCCGGCGAATCGCCGAAACCGCTGACGAACCCGATGACCTGGGCGTACTCGGGCACGCGCTGGCCCATGGCCGTGTTGAAGGTGAGCGTGATGCTGGAGTTGTTGGACTGGTACACGATGCGGATCGCCTTCTGCGGCAGGAAAGGAGCAAGCTCCGGGTTGAGATTCTGGATGGCGGTGTCGTTCCACATCGTGACGGTGCCGAGGTAGATGCCGGCGATGGTCTCCCAGTCGAGACGCAGCGGCTCACGGGCGATGAGCTCCGGGATGTTGTAGGC